CCTCTCCCCGTGCCAGTAACGTAGTAATAGTGGTACTCAGTCATTCGAAATTTTTTTTCGATAACAAAAAAAAACCCATATTTTATGAGTGGTGCCAATATTTAAGCTAATTTTCAGGAAAAATAAAGATGGGAAGTTCTCAATCAACAGAATCATCTGTGACCAATGCTGAGGTTTTTTACTCCTTTTTATACCTTTACAGACAATAAATGTGTTAAGTCGTAATTAAAAAAGTGCAAAACAAATTCAGTAGAAATCAAAATTAGGGTTTACAAGTGAAATGAGGATTAAAAAGGCCGGATAAGTTGGATAAGTAGGATTGCTAAGAAAGAATTCCTTGACGAAGGATTGACTAATGATCCCTTTAAAATTTCAGCCTCCCAGCTTTCCTAGTTCCCGAGTTAGCCGTTTTCTCCCCGAAAGAGGGGCCGTACTTAGGAACCACGCATGCCTGGGGGCTCAGTTTGGAACCTTTATCACATGATTGTATGGAGAATATCCCTGCAAAGTTTCAGCTTTCCAATTTGTCTGATTCCCGAAATCGCGTTACCGTCAATAAAAAATTTGTATATTTTTTTAAGGCATCCGTATGCGGGTGATGATATTAAAATGGGAGGGTTGCTGATGACTAATCTTCAATTTTTCTCGACAAGAAAAATACAGGACGAGGGGGGAGGGGGTAGGATTGATATTTTTCAAAGTACCGCAAAAGGAACAGCACTAACTTTATCTGTTCTCTTTTGCATCGAATTATTACTGCTTTTTTTTTTCAGGCTCCAAAATCGAGTTGTCCAGTGCTGGGCAAAAAATGCGCACCAAATTCGAATACGTCGAGTGACCAGTCCTCAGTGGCACAGGGCTGCCGCAGAACGCAGTCTTCAAGGAGCGCTACCGGTGAATGTGACTCAGAACAAGTGTGGAATGAACTTAATGCTGTTAGTAGTCATTAAAAATATATCCTTTCTTTTTTCAAAATTTTTGGAGTTTTCCGCTTTTTTGGAAATTGAAAAATGAGGTATATACCTCCTTTTGCAACTCGATAATTTATCGTAGTAGTACCGTGATAAAATATCACGATAAAATAAAAAAGTTTCGTCCCGTTGAGCTGCATCATTTTCAATCACCGGAAAAACTCTTTTGACCCTAAAGACTTGAAAAAAAAACAAGATTTTCGGACTAGCAATCTGCTAAAGCAAACAGTTTTGATGATATTTGGCATGAAAATACAGATGCCAGCACCGAACCAGAAGCCCTCTCCGGATCAGCCATTCCCGTTAAGTACCGAGCGGCAGCGATCAACGATTCCGAAAGCTACGGATGATGGTTGCTGGGAATATCCATCAGAACAGATGTTTTGGAATGCGATGCAAAGGAAAGGTAATTTTGTGAGTGCTATGTCCGAACAAATATCTCTCTGATAAAGCTATTTCAGGGTATTGCCCCCTTCTTAAACATCTAATAATAAAAAGCCGATTACTGGGGTATATCAGTGATAAGCTCAGTGTTGGAACAGGTGTGCAATAAGCCGTATATCGGAATAGTTCAAATTTTCTAATTCTCATTTCTTGCCTTCTTTTTTCATTCTTCTATTTCATTCCTTCTTATTATAACTTTCTATTAATTATTTTCATTTTTAATCCCCTATTTCTAACACTCCTCTCTTTTTTTTTGCTTTTTTGTTCTATCTTCACATACCTAATTTTGTTTAAAATTTTCCTTTCAAAGATTTGATATAGATATAAGATTAGGATCTAAAGTGCAAGATATAAGATTTAATACAGATGTAAGATTTTAATAGAGATATAAGATTTTTGTTTTTTATTTCAGTTTTTAACCTTTCCCTTCTATCTTCACATATCTAGTTTATCCTGAAATTTTCCTTCTAAAAATTTACTGTATAAAATTCTAATAATTACACTATTAGTAGTTACTACAATCGTCGTACTGAAGGTCCAGTTGTGGTAATGATTTGAAATGTATATGATTTGATGAACCGAAACATTCCATTTCGGTGTTTTATTCATTTCGGTGTCCGTATTTCTTTTTTTTTCCATTTTTTTTATTTTTTTCTTAGATTTACTTGATTTTGATTAATTCCTAGCTTATTATTTTTTTATGAACAGACTTTCTGTTTGTTCGTTATTATTTGTAGATCCCTTATTTTGTCAGTTAATAACTATAATTTATTTAGTTTACTGATTATCATAATTTAAATCACACCTTTATGTGTTAATATTTATACATAGATTAGATCTATCTTGAACCCAATGTATGTGCCTAGTGCCAGGTCGATACTAGGAATAGATTCTAGATAAGCTGGAAATCAGAGAGTATATTGATGATAAGCCATATGGGACAGATGTTAGAACATATCCGTGGGACGAAGCTGAATATTAGGATAGATCCGTGATGGGCAGAATATTAGAGTATCTTCTCGAAATATGTCAGCTTATCTGTAATTTGCTGGATATTCGAACAAGTTAAATAGAACGGAATATCGGAATTTTACCACATATTAACACAACTTCAAATATGTTTTTTAATGACAAATGGAATATCTTTCCGGCAGATCCCTTGTAACGCTGTATGCCAACAAATCTTGTACTGTATTTTCAGGATGGCGATGGAAGGACGATCAAATCACGGCTAAAGATATGAATAAAATTATCAAAATCCATAACGCGAACAATGAGGCGGTGTGGCGTGAAATTCTGAAGTGGGAAATGCTTTTACATCCGTAAGTCTTCAGAAACTTTCGGAAATTTTTCGTAAATCTACTTGATTTTGCTGTATGACAAGTAACAAAAAGGTTATGTTGTGCCCAACTTTATAGTTTTCACCCGCACCAGTGGGACAATCAGATTCGGTCATTTGTTTTGATGATACTTACTTGAATACTTGTGCAGCTGTATTTAAAGGTAAGGGAGAAAATGAGCAGAAGGAAAAAGAAGAGAAGGAGAACGAGGTGGAAAAAGAGGAAGGGGAGTATAAAATTTTTGTAATTTTATACTCCCCTTCCTCTTTTTAAGAAATGTTTCGATCCATTAAATCGTATGCATTTCTTACCGTTACCACAATTGGACCTCGTCAGTACGACGATTGTGGTGACAAGTATGTCATCGGCGTTCGTTGTTGCGCCATCGATGCAGCGCTGGCAACTTCTCCATTCAACTAGTTTTGGCGCTCTCTATGTCTCTCCAGCGTACTGGTGGCCTTCCCAATGTTCGCTTGACCGTGGATACCTTCCATTATCCGCTTTTGTCCATCTCTTATCTCTCATCCATGCCACATTTCTTGATGATATTGGCACATTTTTGGAATTCAAAATTTTGTGATTGTTATAATATCGCTGAGCAGCATTCTGTCTCCGTGTAGCAGCTTATCATTATACGTTCTTTCAGGGAATGTGATTGTCCGAAATTAAAAAGTTTTCATGGTGATTCACAAAAAATCACTCCACGAGCTCGCATCAGGCAGTTGTTGGGGTGAGTTCCATCTCATTCCATCTTTCAGTTAAAAAAAAAATAAAATTAAGGCATAGTCCAAAAACTGGGTAAATTTATGCATTAGTTCAAAAATTGAGTAAATTTTGTGCATTTAGAACGCTTCATATTGCAATAAATGCTTCATTTTGCCGACAGCCATTGTAACATTTGTTTGAATTTGGTCGAGAAACATGTTTTCTTTTGAATTTTTTCAGATATGAATTACCGTTTGATCGTCATGATTGGATCGTTGATCGATGTGGAAAAAAAGATGTTAGTTTTTATGCGTTTTTGCCGTGCAGCGCTAGAGCGCTGCAACAGGCAGCAAAAACGCATA